GCAAACGATAAAACCAGCTCGAAATGTGACGATAACGGTCGTGTGACGATGAGTGATCAAATTTCGATTCGTGCAGACACGTTGAGGGCAGCGAAGAGAAGGTAAGGACTCGGATTAGAAGTTTATCGATGTTGAGCAAATTTTTGGTGTTAATGATGCGAATAAACGAATGAATCGTTCAAGATGCATACGGTTCAGTTCAAATTCGTTTCACATCGTTTGAATGTGAGATTATGATGGCTCTGGAAATTTTTTTTTGACTTTGATTTGTACTTGATCCCATTCAGTTCAGTGAAATCGCCTGCCATATCATTGGTTATAATTTGGAATGTCTGTTAGAAGTTTGCTTATTGCTAACTAAAAGGCGCCTCTCGATGGCGATTCATACCATTTTGGAAATGTGATGAGTTTTGAAGGTCATGGGCTCAACAAGAGACATTGATGGATGAGGCCGAATATATTCGAAAGATTCTCTGCGAACAACAGAAAAAAGGGCGAACGCATCTGAATTTAGATCCACATCTGAAGAATCTTTTGAATAATTCACCTGTTCAAGAGGTATGCTCATGAAACATTCATTCATCTGTCATATTCATCTATTGGTTTAATGGGAAAATTCTCAAATGAAAATTTTCTAATCGCTTGCTTGGGATCTTCTGAGAAGTGTTTTTATCCTTATATATACTTAGACCTTATACGATGGATGAGGAGAATAATTGAACAATAATATTTTCTTTATTTTTAGGTACTCAATGATAAGGTGCAACCAACTGATCCAGTTGAGGTAATTGATTTATATTCTAATATTCATCTTTCATTTATCGATCGTCTTCCAAATCATCTGATTACCGATTGAAGAACTGTTAGATTGAAATTAATAATAATGGAAGTTCTAAAATATAAGTTCCAGGCGAGCGTAGAAGAAGCACCCGAAGTAATAGCGACGACGTCGAAATTATTGGATGAAACGACTGAAGCAGTGTCAGTGATAGAATCAGACGTAACGGTTGTTGTTGATTCACCGGTA